TAGCCAGGACCACACGTGGTGAACACTATTAACAGATGACCTAAAATTTCTACGTTCCCATATCATAAGTCAACAAAATAAGAACAAATATAACTGTCAACAAGGCCATAAAATAATTTCAGTAATAATTACGTAAATGAAACATTTATGAGACGCACATGAAAATTATCTATACAGATACAATAATTAAGTCTGTTTCTAATGTAAACACAACAGTTTTACACTAAATATGTCCGAACAAAACCTTCAGACCATCATTCTAAGTCGAAAATCATTGGAATTTTCTGCCGGAAAATTAAACGTTTTATACAGTCAGCTGTCAAACTTTAGAGATTATTCTCCGTAGGTATCGCATAAAAGTAGCAACTACATTTGTATTCCGTGCAACGTGCAGTCTACGCACACTAACCGCGCTTCGTCTGTTTGATTAATAAAATTGCAGTTTTTGACCGTATGTGGTATTTATTACAAAAAAATGTGACAGAAAATTCTAATGATGTTTGACTCAATATGATGGTCTGAATACACTATTTTAGTATCTGTTATATCGTCCCTTACATCGTATATATATATATATAATGACTGATAATGATTGATTACCCGTATAATTTAAATATATAATTCTATAAGTAGCATGTGCAATTAAGAAAGGTTAGATAAAGGTTGAATGCTTAAAAAGAAACAGGTTTCTATGAACCTGGGTTTCTTGTGTGTCGAGTTTTTGCCAACATTCCCTTGTCAACTTGTAAATAATAGCATAAAGGTGCACGCTTAAGATAACTTATAAGTTTTTATTGACTGATTACCTGTACTTCATAAAATCTACTTATATTGATCTTACTAACTCTTACTAAAACTCGACTTAATTAAAAATTAAACAGATTTTCGATGGAAACTTAAAAGTTTTACTGTTAATTTCCAAAAACTTTACCAGAATGTGTTTGTGTTTATTTCGTTGAGTTTATAAACGTCAAATGGAACAATAATAATAACCTCACACATCTCACACACGGCCGTCTGATCAACGCTGCATGCTAGGCGATTTGTTGATCAATTTTTTTTATTTAAACCGTATTATATCATGATTTTGGCGCCCCCTGAAACTGGCACCCAAGGCGGGTGCCCCGGTTTGCCAACCCCTCCCATTGATCCGGGGCTGCGTAGACACAGAACAAATGATCGTGCTCATAACACAATTATTTTTCCTGGGTGGGATTCGAACCTACGACCTGTGGCTTACCAGTCTGGATTTCTAAACATCAAATATCTAAATTATGCAGAGGAATTCAAACGTCTTGCAATCCTAGAACCAACGCTAACATTCTACCTTTTCATTGCCGTCTGGTAACACCTCACCGTTACCAGTGATAGAGTTTCACCACCATCGTAGACTTCACGGTAATAAAATCAAAAACGTAAATGCACCTAATTATTGAAAATTTGACGGGCCGGTTGGTCTAGTGTTAACCATGCCTGCTAAGCCGGAGACGAAGCAGCTTAGCTCTCCGGTTAAGCAGTTCCGGGTTCGATTCCCACCCAGGACAAATATTGTGTGATGAGCACGATCATTTGTTCTGTGTCTGGATGTAATTTATCTATAATATGGATGTATTTTGAAATATATGGGTATGTTTAGCAGTAGTCTGGTTACCATAGTATAGTTAGTTAGTATGTGCCTAGTTTGGGTTCAGACTTCCGTGTGTGAGATGTGTGAAATTATTATTATTATAAGTATTTGCTCCCATAACTGCCATGTTCATAAAATGATCATTTAAACGATTTGAGTCATAAAAACTCAATCGCGATAATAAACCGTTCACTGGTATATCCGATAAGTGCCATCCATTCATTCCATTCAAAAACCCCTTTTTAAATAGTTTATATACGTTTTTGCAAATAGGTACCGATTACGTCAATGAAAAAAATACATCAATTTAAGTAATTAATTGTGACCTGTTATATTTATTTATTTAATAATTATTACCTAACACCTAAGCATTATGTACAGTCAACCAAAGTTTACAACTATTTGAATAAAAAAACAACAAATCATTGGTACTTAATTTGAAGGGCGTATTTCCAGCAGTGGACTGCGATAGGCTGATGATGATGATGATAGGTACTTACTAGAAAAGTAGTTCGTTCGTTCATAGTACTTCTTAAATCTCGTAGAGTTTTAAAAAAGGCGGGAACACGTTGTGACTATGCAACTTTGGGTGTCCATAAGTGTCACTTACCGTCAGACAACCCATCTACTCATTTGCCCCCTATACTATAAAAAGAACTTCAATTTTGAGCATTTGCAGTTCCTTTAATAGAATTGTTTTACTCTGTAACGAATATTAGTCCGCCATAAACTACCGACGGTGTTTTAATGGGTTTTCTAACAAAAACACAGTGAAAACACTTTGGCACATTAACTGTGCGATAGGAACAATTTATAAGCAATAAAACGGAGTATCTAGAACAGTTTAGTGTAGACGGGACAGTGTGTTACTACGTGCCTAATTTTTATTTCTTTTATTTTATTAAAGTTAAAGTTTATCGATTTGACTGTACTTTTTTGGGAACGGTATTGGATTTTTAACGAAGAACTTATCATCTTCAGATGAGTCCCATAAAAGCACGATAGTGGACTATTAATTAAGAAGAAAAAAGATTTATATTGTTTTCCACAAATAGTTATATACTAGATTATGCATATTTATACTATAAAAAAATATATCTACATTTGTTGTTCAGTAGTTACTCTTCTATCTACTACTCCTCACTATTCATTTATTGGGGCGGACAGGCCTGTTGACCTAGTGGTTAGCGGTCCTGACTGCTAAGCCAGCCGTGGGTTCCATTCCCACCTAGGACAAATATTGTGTGATGAGCACGGTCATTTGTTCTGTGTCTGGGTGTAATTTATCTACATATAATATGTATGTATTTAAAAATTTATAAGTATGTTTATCAGCAGTCACCATAGCACAGGCTCTGCCTAGTTTGGGATTAGACGGCCGCGTGTAAGATGTGTGAGGCTATTATTATTATTTTTTTGGTAATTTATTAACGTCTATGATATAAGTAGGAGATTTAAAAGTTAATTTCATTAAGTAAAATTTCTGTAAGTAGTTAGCGCTTTGTTTATTTTTACTGTAACTATTTTCAAGAGTACATTCAAAGACTGTTTTATTGCGTTATGCATAAATAGTGGTGAATCAAAAGTGACGCGTCTGTACAAAAATACTCATTGCTGTTAAGAGTCCGATGAACTCTATTGAGTACTGCTGATAACATTGCCCATGAGTTTTGTATGCGTTAGTAATCTTTAGTTTAAGATGTAGGATTACTAGTGAAAAGTGGGTTACATCTGGGCGTGTGACGTCATTAGATATTGATTGTCACTATGTTGCTAAAAGATTGTAATATTATAAACAGCATGGTTCTTGGCATAAAGGGGGCTGGGGGGATTTCCATAAAAAAATTAATTGTTTTTTTTTTAACTATTACGTAAGTGAAGGCACAGGAGAAAGCTAGTCAATTTATAAGTAAACACAATTAAATAGGAAGTCAATTTTTTAGCAAAAATAAAAAAAAAACGAGTTTAGGTCATTTGCTCATTTAAATATTTATAATAGATGACATTTAAATATTTCGTAATCAGTATTTTTATAAAATAGTCGATTCAGTATCATATTAGTTATAATAAAAAATGAATTTTGTTCCCACGAGAAACCTGTTTGAGGATACATCCTGCGAATCATTATATCATCGAAATATATAAATTGATGTTTAATAAAAATAATAGAAATAAGAAAAAAGTCTTAGTAGTAAGCTTAAGGACACATCAGATTATGTACGAATCAATAAAGAAACTCTTACTTAACTCAAACACCAAGTTTGAGTTTAAGTTAAGATTAAGTACAAAGAGTTTTGCTTAAGTAGACAACTTTATATTATAAAAAAGTTGTTCAAGCAGTCAGCAAAATGTTTGTAAATACATAGACTAGCTGACCTACGTTAGTTTGCGTCTCTTAAAAAAAGAAATTTTCCCAGTTTTTGCAACATTTTTCGTTAACGCTCAACTACTGTTGGTCGTGACGAGATGTAATACAGCTAATAGCCTTCTTCGATAAATGGGCTATCCGACACTAAAAAAAAACAATTCGAACCATTACTTTCTGAGATTAACGCGTTCTGTCTAAGAAACTCATCAGCTTTTTAATATACTTTATAATTGACTTCATGTATGGTGTAGTGTTGTGACTTCGATCCTCACAAAGGATAGGTAAAACTTTGTGTGATCCACAAACTGAGTCTAGGTGTTCTTTGTGTCCGTTTTATGTATGTTTGTAAAGTCCCCTGCGACCCAGGATATAGTGTGGAAATTGTCTTTGAGATGTAAATATAACAAATTTGGAGTAAATCTATACGAATATAAATAAAATTGAAGTGTCTGTTTGTAATGTCAAAATAATAGGTTTTTTCATACTCACACGGTTATTTGCACGTTACTCATGCCTAAAACCAGTTTAAATATTTTTTTCGCACTGTCTGTTTTAAAAATATTTCACTATCTGGTAGTGAAATATTTTTAAAACTGTCTATATAAGGAGTAACATAGGCTGTTTTTTCTCTCAGAATAACTCTATAAATTTTGCCCGATTCGGGAATCGAACCCACTAAGGCAGTGCTTTTCAAATTCGACGCGAAGTAAGGCGCCAAGGAAGGAGACTAGCAGACAAATACATAGTAAAAAGAAAAGCAATAAATGAAAAGAATACTGCTATTTGTAAAAGCAGTATTATTTTCGATTAGAGTTAGAATTCTGTAAGTTGAACTGGCTCACCAGGTCTTCGTATATTTGCAAACATTAATATATTTACCAATCACGATTTCTACACTACCTAAATGTTGACTGGAAGAGAACGCCTTGGGCATTAAGTCCGCCGATGTACAAAAGTTATAAATAAAATAAATTAAAAATAAAAATATTTATTTCTTTGTTGCAGATTGCCAATCTCGATTCTCCTCTGCGGGGTGATAGGTCTAAGTCTGGCGTACAGCGGGCCCGACCTGCCGCCAGGCCCGTACTGCGGCCGCACAAATGAATGCTGTAAAAACAGAGAAGACAGATGCTCACATTACATTCTCGGTGAGTTGTCAACCTTTTCCTTCTTTGATGTTCTTTATTCCTGTGAGTTTTTACTGTCCCTCACGACACAGGTCCTTAGAACATTAATATGTTAATGCCAAATCGTAAAACATGATGTCCACAAACCGCCTTGCATCCAGTACAAAAATGCGAGATCTTCTTCGGAGTGAATTGGCAGAACAGTCACAACGCTAGTACCCGACTGAGTATTTTTATATTATACTAGCTGACCCTGCAAACGTTATTTTGCTATTATTTAAATATTTATTAATATGTTATTTAAATATTATCATTTAATAAAACAATAAAAATAATAAACCATCAATTTCAATTGTCAGAAATGTGACAGTTAAACGTCAAATTGCATTTTTAACGCAGGGTACTTCATATCTATTCCCTCTCTTTCCTTCACGCAGGAACAATGTGTTACTGCGACGAGTTCTGCGACAGACCAAACGGGCGGGATGATTGTTGTCCAGACTATCAACCTGTCTGCGATCCTCAGAGCACCCCGCCTCCTGGTGAAATAAAGAAGCCCGACCCTTGCCGGCATGGTGGCAGGATCTATAGGACTGGAGACACCAGAAAGGAAGGCTGTAATACTTGGTAAGTCACAATTACACCATACTCTAAAAAATGTTTTATTCATTGCACCGTCTGTGAATCGCCGGTTATTGGTGATTATACCAAAGCCATTTAGTATACCTACTGCCGAGCTGTCTCTAAATCGCTGGTCACTTCCTGGCGAATCATTTTTTCCAAAAACACATGATTATTTCTAAATGAAAGTTATTATATTATGTTATACAAATTAGATAAATATGTGGGCATATTAAAACAACAGGATATGTTTAACCCACCAGACTAACGATGAAAGTAATAAGAAAAGCAAGAACCAAAGACACCAAACTCACATACGAGTATACACATTCAAACACACAAAACATTTATGAGATGATTGGTCGTTTGTTTGTCAGACAATTGTCAGTAGCCGTGTCGCATAATTGTGACACTCGAGCGATCGCTGTTTGCACGCCATCTTATTTTATTCAACCTGTGTCGCATTTCTCTGACTCGAAAATTTATTTTAATGTAGTAAATATATGCAGGTCAATTACTCTACAAAATATATATTTCAGTACGTCCAAGTAGTACAACAGAGTCATACAACAGAGGATCATGTTGTCAGCATTAATATTAAATGTTTAGGGAATTCTGCCAACTAAGAATTTTCTGCTAGTTCTAAATGAGTTCTTTGGCCCTAGACTGATTCACGATAGATTACAAAAACAAATTTTAGTACTTACTATATTTTCATTTATTGCCAGTATAATAGTCACAACTTTTATATTCTCAAAAGTTCAAGAAGACAGGTGTTGCCTAGATAAAATTATTACTGAGACTCGTTTAGCAGTTACAGCTTTGTTTGTCCGGCATCCGTGTGGTGACGGATTAAGAATACGAAGTGTCACCACCCCTATTCATCGGTGTCGTAAATGCCGACTAAGGGAGCAACTAAGCAGAACAACAGCACTGCAAAGAGAAGGCTTATATTTGATGCCATCGTTCTAGGTTTGATGAAAGTAGGCCAAATTGTCTTTCCAGTTATCAATTGAATTCTCAAGAGTATGAGGTAATCTGGAAACGGAATAATTTCACCTTAAATTTCCTAAAAAAAATTAACGCAACTTTGCTTCTTCGGTGATATACATATAGTGGACAAAAATCTTGCGGAATTTCTCTTCTAATGAATTAAATCCTCACTATTCCTTCTAGAAGCAGAGAGAAGGTCTGTTTTTAAATCGTCAAAATATGAAAATGCCGAACTAAACTTTAAATCTTCGTTTTGACTTAAGTCGTGGAAAGCTGGAAAGAACTGTCGGAATCATTTAAAAAATTAAATAATCCTGTAATATCTACCTCGTCATTGTCTCACATTCCATCAGATAAGTCGGGTTACAATCGCCTTTTCCGTAATTCAGAAATGTATTTAGAACTCTAGCTAGATAGACTAACAGAGTTTAATGAGTTAAATGTAAAATAAATATTTATCTGTGTAATCATAGACACCTGTAATTCCTAACCATACATTAATGGAAAATTTAATTGTACTAGGCTGAATAGAAGCCAAGCCCAAGTGACATAATATCCTCACTTTATTAGACTGTCGATTGAAGATAACGTAGTATTTACTATTTACTGTCCGTTTCTACTATCCGGAAACAGTCGGATGATCCGCATATTTTGATATCTTTATTTGATCACTGTCTGTAGGTCAAATTCTAAGAGACTACTTATTAAAAAAAGTTTAAAATCTCCGCTATTCATCGAAATGCTCTGTGTTATTTTTATTTAATAGTATGATATAGAGTTCCTTTCTAAGGAGACGCCTATGTCCAGCAGTGGACTGTTAAAGGCTGTTGATGATGATGATATAAACTTTAATTCTTTTCACCATCATATTAAGATCGTATGTTTTCCAATTTAACTACAACCACAACTTATTCGCACGAATTTTAAATTACCGCAATTTTATAACATGATTAAAATCTTTCTAAAAATAAAACCTTTTTAATTCTTTTTGATATTGTACATTAAATTTTCGTGCAAACATGTATCCGGAGTTTTAGTATCCGGCAAAATTACGATGTTATCACATCACTATCTTATACAATCCTACCAACCTTCAATCTATTATTGGTGAATTTATTGTAGTCTGCCCCTGAGCTATTAGTGTCTACGTTTGATATTAAATAATTGACAATTGTTACTTATGAATTCATTACTGTTTATTCATCTGACAGATTGAACCTATTTTATAAGTCGGTCTTAATTTAAAGGACGACTTTGTCAAGTGTTTTTTGTACATCTTTTGTACTTAATTAATTTTTCTCGTCGCTTGTGTCGTCTCACCAATACACCGCCCCAAGTTTGAAGGAGGGGTTTAATTCCCCTACGAGATAAATTTGAAAAGCAGGAATTTTCTTTTAATTTCAAAAAAGAAATTTAGTTTTAACGGAACACTTGCCTTACTAACTATCGATAAACAGAATATATCCAAGATAAGTAAAAAATAAACACTCACTTGTAGAATGCATTCCATCACTCAAAGTCAGCTATCGAGCTCGTAATGAATCGTGCTATTAATACTACACGAAGTGATAATATCTTATAACTAGCAGCCGTTCAAACAGGGTTGCTAAAAATAGCTGATTCCTTTATAGATCATTCATATCATGTGAAATATTTATGCGACCGTGATCTAGTAGAGAAAGCTGACTTCGAGAAAGTAGTTATAGCGTACCTACAGACACGAGAACAGTTATGTTTTGTATTCTAGCTTTCGCGTCCGTGATATATATTTAACTGTGTCTGTAAATTAGTATTTACACGATCACGTTCTTGGTATTACATACGTCTGAATTGCCTGAGTATATCTTATAATCAAGAAACTTTGACTTTAAATTATTACGTCACAATTCTGGCATAATCACTGTTGAAACCTATATTTGTATTAGTATTTAGTGATATTTTAGACGAATATATACTTACATGTTATTGAATTTAAGATTATTATTTGTAAAATCGATAATTTTTAATTTTGATTTTTCATCTTTTCAGTTATAGGAATAGAAATTATTTTATTTTTAATATATTCATTTGATCTGGCCGATTCAAATTTATTAAATCAAAGTTAATTAAGAAGAGAAGTACAGTAGGTTTTCTGATTATTGACATAATAATATGTTCTATATTTAGTTCAATTGCCGAGAAGATAATTCTCTCCTTTCTGCATTGAGTAGAGTTCAGTATATCGTGGGAGAGTCATACTCCCGCACAAATGGGCTGTCTCGACCGGAGAGATCCCACGGCTTCACAGATAACCCGTGTTAATCAGTTCTTCGTTGCTTTTATCGAGTGAGTGAGGTTACCAGTATAGATGGGACAAACCACGGCTTCACAGAGAACCCGTGTTAAACAGTTCTTCGTTGCTTTTACCGAGAGAATGAGGTTACCAGTATACATGGAACAAAATCATAGTGAACTGCGAATGAACGGCGATTTAGCATTCGATTTTTCGTACGTAGGTTAGGGTTACTACTCACTCACACGTTGTTGACAATAAGCTGTTTTCAGACGATGCATAAAGACCCTATTTTGCCTATTTAACAATAAATCTAGTAATTATTTCATTCTATATAGCTACCATTCCCTACATAATAATTAAAAATACTAGGTTTACTGTTCGCGTCTAACCTACCTACCTAGCAACCCTAAGCTACGTACGCAAAAATCGAATGATAAATCACAGTTCACCGTGATTTTGTCCCATGGCTAGTTACCAGAGCCCAAACCCCTCTCTGGGAGGGAGGACTGAAAGGGCGACAACGCACTTATGACCCTTAGGTTGCAGTTTGTTTAATTGCTTAAAAAGACAACTCCAGCATTAGGACATCGCGGGAACTATACAAACGTACATGAAACAGACACACAACATCACACAAAGTGGAGGATCGAACCCACGACACGCAGCGCAGTAGGAAGCAGTGTGGCAATCGCTAAAACTACTACGCCAACCGTACAGTCAGATATCCAAGGGCAGCCCGTCTGCCAGTTTGCCCCTGTCCCATAAAATAACAGTTGAGTTTCTTTTGGATGGCCATCACCCGTTTATCAAACAGTATAAGAGTTATATACATATTATATGCGATAAAGTAGGACAAAATAATAACTACCTTCAAACAAAAGCCTTTTAATCCCGACGCCGACACCGGGCTAACCAATAAAACATGGAATGTTACAAACCACAGATCATTGTCAAACAACAAAGTTAGTTGTACTAAAACGCCGTACACTTCTGCATCGTTTATATTTAGAGAACCAGGTGGAATATTTCGAATGTCTGCAGACGTATTTAGAATTCAGCACTAATAATAAAATACACTACATTTTGTTTGAAAAATAATAAATTTGTGTCATCAAAGAAATGAATATGTAAATATTTAAGGTAACCTAAATATCTGACCTTTATTCAGTTTTTTATTTTTTGTATAAAACACATTAAAATATAAAGTTGAAGTTGAATCCAAATTTGAAGTCAATAGAGGATCTACTTATGAATTATCTTTATAAATACATATTAATTTAATATTTTTTATAAAATGATAAAACATTCCACACTCTCGCTTTCAGCTTTCTTTCTCTCTCTCACTTTACATAACCAATAATTTAACTTTTAAAGCCTAAAAAACACGGTTTAAAATCTACTGTTAATGATATTTCAAATATCTTTTAGCTGAAAAGAGATACAATTTAGCCACATTTCGTAAAACTCCTTGAATAATTAACAAAAAATAAAAATCATAAATCGAAGCAACTTTTCAGTGACAGATGGTTGACGTAAAGCCACAGTTCTTATTTATATTTCTTACTGGAAAACACCTGAGAAATCTTTAGCAACGATGAATATTCCGTCCAACAATGCGTTTAATGCTGCACTTGAGCCTGATTATATTTAGGCGTGACCCAGGTGTGGGAATACCATCAATCACGATCTGGCAGACGGCCATCTTTGTTGGGCTAGGGATGGGCTGACACATTCCGTT